CACACCGCCTCCCTTACTTTTCCCCGAGTTAGCAGTCCGGTCCTGACGAAAAATAGTGAATCCGTCAGGAATAATGGCGGAGTCCGGGATAGCGGGGGTTGAGCCAAGTCTCAGTGAGAATTAACACGTTACAGTTCTTAATGTCCCGTTGAAAAGCAATCCGACTTCTGAGTTCATCTAGCTTATTTTCAATGGATTGAACATTAGCCAGAAGAATACTCGGAAGAGGGGGTCGATTCTCTCGTTTCCTCAGTCTGACCAGCAGCCCGGCCCGGCACCCTCGCTTTATCTTCTTCTTGCATCTCTCAGGTAGAACAGCAACAGGTAGCCATGGCAAATCTCCATTGTCTGTCGGAGGGTTATTATTGTCCACGAAGTTTCGAATGTGAAGAAGTTCCTCTCTGCTATATTGTATGGCAGAGTAGGTGCGGTCGGCTTGCATGTTGCGAACCATGTTAAAAGTAAAACGGCAAAAGTAAAATAAATACGCACAAAATACGAAAAGGGGCAAAGTTGGAGAGGAGCCCAAAGACGATGCGGCCATCTTCACCGGCGCATCACTGCATACACATTATGATGTTACATAATGTGGCTTTACCATGGCAGCGTTGCCATAAAACACGCTGTAACTCCAATGGACAAGGTCCGTTTGTCCCCCAATCTTCACTTGTATACCACCGGTCCATGCCTCAACAGCTCTACGTGAAATATGTGATCTCATCACATGCCGTTTCCATCCCTCGATAAAAAACACGATGTTGTCGTAACTCAATGGAAAATCGTCCAAACAGCACCAGATTTCAGATGATGGCTAATGGTCCGGCCCTCAACAGCTCTATGTCAATTATGGGGTGTCATCATATGCCGTTTCCATGGCAACATATCCCTCGCCACGAAACACGGTGTTGTCATAACTCAATGGAAAATCGTCCAAACGGCACCAGACTTCAGATAATGGTGAATGGTCCGGCCCTGAACAGCTCTATGTAAATTATGGGATGCCATCATATGCCGTTTCCATGGCAACGCATTCCTCGCCATAAAACACGATGTTGTCGTAACTCAAATGGTCCAAACGGCACCAGACTTCAGATGACAGTTAATGGTCCGGCCCTCAACACCTCAATATGACATTAGTGAGATTTCCTCAAAAGCTGTTGCCATGGCAACGCATCCCTCGCCGTTAAGCACGATATTGCTATAACTCCTGTGTAAATGGTCAAAACGTGCTCAAACTTCACATGTGTGCTAACGGTACAGCCCTATACAAATTTGTATAAAGGGCAAGATCAGGAATTTAAGAAAGAAATAATTTGTGATTTCTTAAAACCCCTCAAAATGAAAAAACTGACGAAGCATCTAAATTAGCAGAGTCTATCAGAGAAGAGGAAATGCAAGAATCCATTGCTAAACTAAAGAACAACAAATCACAAGGAGTAGATGGGTTTGCAGGGTAATACTATAGAGTCTTCGTGAATGATCTTTTCCCTATATTATGCAGAGTATTTAATTATGCAATGAATTCAGGAGACCCCCCAAAACCATGGTCGGAAGCTATCATCACAGTCCTGCATAAAGAGGGAAAGGACCCTTGACAATGTACTAGTAAGTAAGGCCCATACTAGTAAGTAAGGCCCATACGTCTTTTATGTGTTGATTATAAAATACTAACTTCAATCTTAGCAACCAGTGTACAAAATTATATAAAGAAGTTAAGCTGACCAGACAGGATTTATTTCAGGTCGCCAAGGGACGAACAATGTAAGGCTTTAAAAGATAAACATCCTACAATGCTTCTCAGCTTAGATGCTGAGAAAGCATTTGATAGAGTTGACATTCTTGGAAATGGGTTTTGAAAAAACATTTACTACATGGATTAGTTTGCTTTACAAGGATCCTAAATCAATAATAAGAGTTAAAGGTCATTGTTCCGATTTCTTTAAAGTAGAGAGGGGTGTGAGGCAGGGCGACTCAATGTCCCCTCTTCTTTTCGCGCTCAGTATTGAACCCTTGGCTGAGGCTATACGTCAAAATAAACAAATTCAAGGAATAGCGGACGAGGGTGGGTCAATACATAAAATTGCGGATGACATTTTGCTTTTTATAAAACACCCACTAACTTCTATTCCAGCCCTTATGCAAAGCGTGTACAAATACGGAGCAATTTCGGGATACAAAATTAATTAAGGCAATAATGGTAACAGGGAAATGGCCCACACAATTACACAAGGATGTCTCTTACTGCTGGTCCAAGCAGGGGTTTAGATATCTAGGAATTACTCTTATATCCCACCCTAAGCATTTATTTGACGCTAATTATAATACATTTATAAAACAAATAAAGAATGACTTGATACGTTGGGAAATCCTTCCCCTCTCACTATTCGGAAGGGTGGAGACGATAAGAATGAATCTACTTCCTCGATTGCTCTTCCTATTTCAATCCCTGGGAATTCCAGCATCCATTTTCAACATGTTAAATAAACTTATCTCTAAGTTTATTTGGCAGAATAAGAGACCCAGAGTAAAACTTAAAACTATTTTCCTACCAAAAGATAAGGGAGGCTAGGGCTTGCCAAATTTAAAACATTATTATTGGGCTGCTCAGTTAACTGCAATACAAAAGATGAGGAAACAGGATGGGCACAGGAGTGTAACTAAGGGTGTGTCGTTATCAGTTTTGCCTTTTATTGATAGGAAATCTGTCAACAAAATAGAAAAATGAATGGATAAATCATACCCTAAAGTTGTGGACGACAGGTAAAAAATGGTTAAGGTGCCCAGAATCAATATCAAGAGCAATGCCGATTGTATGCAATATAGAGTTTCCTCCTCCTACAAGAGATGGAGGATTTAAAAGATGGGCCGATAAAGGTCTAATCACAAATAATCAGATATTTGATGGAACAGAAGTTAAATCCTTTTCCCAACTACAAGAACGATTTGGGCTCCCATCAAATGATCTATACAAATATCTCCAGATAAGACACTATATTACGAGCCACAAGGAGAGAGAGGCAGTTAGAAAAAATCTAAACAATATTTTATTAGTATTGCAGAACAGTGCTTCCCAACTAAAAAAGCATGTCTCACTTATATAAGAGGCTCATGGCGGACGACTCCCAAAATACCTGGAATGTTAGAGAGAAATGGGAATTAGAACTTAACATCACAAGATGTTGGGAAGGCTTGTGTATTGGCAGCCATAAAGGAATTAATAGCAAGTTATGGAAAGAGTTTGATTGGAAGCTGAAAATTAGGTTTTTTAACACTCCTTTTTTAATTTCTAAGTATGTACAAAGACGCTTGGTTGCATTATGTTGGAGGAAATGTGGAAAAATAGGGGATCATACACACATCTTTTGGGAATTCCCAGTAATAGAAGGATTTTGGAAGTCTGTTAAGGAGGAAATTAAAAACATATTGGAAGTGACTGTCCCACTGGAGCCTATGTTGTTCTTGCTCGGAGCTATACCTACAGAAACATACATTCCGGACCAGATGTACATATTACGGATACTACTAGGCCAGGAAGACGATAACTGTGAACTGGAAAAACGTAAAACCTAGGACAATTATTCAGTGGAGGCACAGCGGTAAACAGGTCTACACAATGGAAAAGATGGCGGCAAGTCTACAAATGAGAATGGACTCCTTTATCAAAAGGTGGGACAGTGTTGAAAGATACCTGGATGACTAGCTAGTTGAAAACGGTTGTTTTAACTTAATTGAGTTTCAAAAGAACATTATGGAAAATGTCCCCGTGTAACCGATCCTGCTCTGCTAAAGATGTGACTCCTCGTTTAAAATGCTTTTATTTATTTTTAATTTACTTTACTATTATTCATTTATTTTTTATAATTATCTTATTTATTTCCATATTTTAACTTGTAACTGTTTTACTTTACTTTTCATTTTTTACTTTATTTTATTTCATATTCTGTTTAACCATATTATTATTTGTCATTTGAATGGAAAAGTCCTATGTCAGGATATGTCTTGATTTGTAAAAATCAAAATAAACAGTTCAAACAAAAATAAAAATAAAGATCTGTGAATACTATAATTAATTTACAAATAAACAAAAGGAATTGTGAATCTCTCTGTAACATTGACAACTTTTGATCAGGCATTTGTGAATCAAAAATGCGTTTGTGGAACTCCAAAAGGCTGTATTGAACAAATAAACACAAACTAACTATCACTAACATGAGGATGATGACCGCTGTTCATTATAGTAATCCAAAAACGGCGCATTAAACAAACCACCATGCTCTTACTTTGAAACCTTGAAATGCAGAAATTTCGTCATCAGCAGGCCATCACGTTGGTTTCCGAAAATAACCGAGTGACACGAGCAGATTTTAGTCAAGACCGGCGGAGAGTTTGTCTCAAAACTCTGTGTGTGTAAAAAGACGATCCACAAGCACAGATTTGAGATCCACAAACGCATTTCTGGTCGACAAATACAAAATGGATTCACAAATGCCTGATTGAAAGTTGTCAACGTTACAGAGAGATTCACAAATTCCTTTTGTTTATTTGTAAATTAATTATAATATCACAGATCTTTTTTTTATTTGTGAAAATATTTTGCGTATTTGCAGATCCGTTTTACATTGCAAACATTTTTTGTGAGTTTGCAAATCTTTTGAATGCATTTGTGGAAGGTGTTTTACATTTACAAATCACACATTTACACACAAATTATTTTTATGTTCACACAAATATTATTGAGACAAATCTTACCCAATAAAACACAAACAGATGAATGGGTTGTCAGGGATTTACTGAGGTTATCTGGTATCACTTCAACGTTGGTCATCAGCATGTTTCTCTATTAGCTATAGCATGCTAGTCGACCTAATCTTGTTAGAAACAGGTTGTTTAAAACTGTATGCAGACATTCAATCAACTATGGCTGCTTATCTGGGAATACAATTTAATTTCACCTGTTGTAACAACTATGGAACAAGACAAGTGGAAGCGCAGCGACAGACCTGAGCCACAAAGAGCATGGCCTCCTGCAGTCTGCTCTGAGAGGGAAACTGGTTGCTGAGGGACGAGCCGTCAGGGAGCCGGAACTGGATCCTCGCTCTGGTACTGAACAAACACACACACACACCTTCAAACTGTGCAGAAAACATGTTTTTCAACTAATGAGCATAAGCGACACTGAGTCACTGTAACGTTCAGACTGACCTCAGTCCGTAGACGTAGAGCTGCAACGAGAACTAGTCAATCCCATTCAAGCACAGGGTCTAAATCTGGAGATATTCACATTTGTTTTGTATCTTTGTTCAAGAGTGTTTTTCAATTAAATAGCCTGGCTCCTTGATTTCAGATTCAGATTTGGAAATGCTTTCACTTAACCTGGTTTAACAGGAACCGCACAACAGTACAGTAAGTAAGGCGGTAAGAGTAAAGTACCCTTACTCATTTCATTTTGAACACTACACATGGCATTGTTTTTGCGCAATGTAAAGTCTTTACAACTCCACATTATTTGTATTTACACAACTGCCTCTGGGTGAAGCAGGCCCCCAGTGAGAGAGAAAATAAAATGTGTTTTGGGGTGTTTCTGCCAATTTGGATTTCAACCAAAAAAGAAATAAACAGCCACCGGTTAGTGCGCAAAGACAGAAATGCCCAATGTATATGCAGAGGACACACCTGCAGGGCAAAAATAACAATAATTTGGGAAAAAGGCATTAAAAGTGTTGTTTTTAGTTGTGTTATGTTGATATGGTCACTTCAGGATGATAAATTGTTCTGGGTCAATTTGTGCTGTGACAAGGTTTAAAGTTTGTGTATGTATCCCTCCTTTGTCTCCATCTCTTTACCTCCTCTCCCTGACGAAGGCCTCCTTCCTGGCATCCTGCTCTGCCTGCTGGGCCTGCAGGAGGCTCTGCTTGGTGCTCTTCTCCTCCTCCTGGGTTTTGGCATAGCGGGCTGCTCTGTCAGCTCGGTCCTGCAGAGTGGACATAGCTGGAATGTAACCGTATGTGTGCATTGTTTCCAACAATAAAATATTGTTATGAGAGAGAAAATAACCTGCCAGCACGTTTATGTAGATTGTACGTTTTTTTCCTAGTGCGCATGCATGGGACATGGGTCTGTGATATGATTTATTAGTTTGATGTTTTGATTATCATTTGAGTTAAAAATACAGACGTTTTACATTGAACATTTATTTATTATTGGATTTTTTTTATTTGTTTGTACCTTCAGTAGCTCCCCCGCGCTCTCCCTCTGTTTCTTTGTATTAACCGTAAACATTTTGACGGATAAATATATAAAATACTCCTCTGTCTGGCTCCCAAATTTAATTTAATCCTTACAAAACGCTGCACGGCGTTTAGCCTACAGTTTACTTGCACCGCACGCTGGAAAGCAGTAACTCACGGTCTGACTGTCAAACAAGCAGCTGATGCATATCCCCCATCCCCATAAATGTTTTTAATTGTTTTTAGATGTGATGGAGCAGGGGGTACTTTTTGGAGATGTGTCTGTTGTCTATGTTGCAAACCAAATCTGCCAATGGATACAAATAAATAACGTGAACCTGAAACCATAAGTGAATGTTTTTTGTATTGATCTGATTGAAATTGTGATTTTAAATCTCAAAACCGCTACAGTATCTGTCAGGCAGAAACTTGGGACAACTAATTTGACAGAAACCTTAAAACTGAACTAACTGACTGCTAGGGTTAACTTTGATTTAAACATTTGTAGAATACTAAGAGCTTTATTGAGTAGGTGTAACTGTATTAAGGGTTAAACTCATAACTTTATAACTTAGGGTTTAATGTAATTGTAAAACTATTGTGCCACTGAAAAGATACAATAACAACTCAGGAGTGAGCCAGTCTAGATTTCCTTTTGAGGGCCACCAGCTGCAGAGAGTTAACTAATTAAAGGGGCGTGGCCCCACAGCTGTGAGAACTCAGCAATTAGGTGTCCATCTTAGGTAGCACTTTCCTGGAGCGTCAGCGTCAGCCAGACAAAGACTGACAAAGGAGTCCTGTTGGAGTCATGAGGGAGGCAAAGAGGAGGCAAATCCTACTTTGATTGAGCTAAGTATCGCTGGTGTTTTATTTTATTTTGTTTTTTAGCCCCTCATGCTATAATCATGTGTATTTTCTCCATTCCTGTTCATGTGTCTTCTCGCAATTATCACTGGCCCCGTGTATCTCCTAGTCGATATAACCGGCCAGCTCTCGTCTATCCCACATGCTCCACTGAGATCCAACATCTAGTTTCAGGTGGCTTTTTTCACCATCCTCCCGGAACCGTCCCGAAATACAATCTAAGCCGTCCCGAAATTAATGTGGACCGTCCCGAATTTAAAATATTTGTTTTTCTACATTATCATTAGTTAAAATCATTCAAAGTGACCTTTAACATAAATAAAACATCATACAAATCATTAGATGATAATTCATCAACCTTTTTATTTGAGTCAATCAGTCAAACACATAAACAAAGGCCAAATATATTAAAAAAAAACACAAGCGAGAAAGTTGCTCTAATATTGAATCCAATCAAGTCCCATCCGATTAACAACCAAATCCAACACTCTGTCCTGAAGACAGAACCCAGAGTAACCACTAACCAGGATGACAGTCTGTAACACAGTCAGGAGACCTTTACAAACTGCCCCGCCCCCTCGCACACAGGAGAGAGCTCTCTCGTCTGGATTGGAAAGATCGAAAATAAGATCGAAAATACATCATAGACGCATTTTGTAGTCTTATTGCATATTAGAAACGGAGTTGGCGAAACTAAAACTGCAATATAATGTTCATGTAGCAATAATACATATGACATATGTTTTAAATGTCTCTACCACTGTCTTTAATAATTCCGGCCCGGGGCCCGTTTAATACCGGGGCTCGGTACCCATCCCTACATGGGGAGAGGCGCAGCATATTGCTAAGGACTACATGCGATTGAGAGTTCTCATCTCAGCTGCAATGACATGTCTGGAAACCCCCTCTCGGGTGCCCCATGCATAGCGCGCCGTCAAAAGCTGCTTCATAAGTTAAGTTTCGTTTCTCCGCACCGCTCCGGGGTAAAAAAAATGGTAGTTACATCACAGCTGTACGGCTGGCTGACAGCTGTAGCTATACGTACTGTGTGTGTGTGTATTTCGCGGGTTGCTAAATGCTTTGTGTGTGTTTATGTTGACAAGGAGGTTTAATAACTGTGTGCTACACAAAACGTGCAGTCAGTTTCATTTTCATCGCCGTTCGTAGTAGAGTTAGCAGGGTATTTTTATTTTAACTCTCGTCCCAAATTCGTCCCAAAATTAATTTGTATCCTCCCCGACCCGATTTATTTCGGCCCCGGGACGACGGGAGGTCCTTAAGCTCGAGCCCTGGCCGTCACAGTAACCCATCCTATACAATGAACCATTGTTGTTCTCTACGGTCCACCTGGCGCCTTGGGGGACTTCTTGGAGGAATTAGATAATCTCCTCTCACACATCCCTGAAACTGGCCCTCCCGCTGTACTTCTCGGAGACTTCAACCTCCAGACAGGGAAGATAGCTGAACTAACATCTCTTTTAACCGCCCTTGCTTTCTCACTGTCTCCATCCCTACCGACTCATAAAGCTGGCAATGTCCTTGATCTCATATTCTCAAGGAACTGCACTACTTCTAACCTCTCTGTAAACCCGCTTCACACATCCGATCACTTCTTCATTTCATTCTCTCTACCCCTTTCTAAACATAACAAACTAATCTCTTCTCATTCTGCACCTGTCCGCCGTAACCTTCGTTCCCTCTCCCCCTCTACCTTTGCCTCATCGGTGCTCTCAGCCCTCCCTTCCTCTGACTCGTTCCAACTCCTGCCTCCAAACTCTGCTGCAGAAACTCTCCTCTCCACTCTTTCATCCTCTCTGGACTCTCTCTGTCCTCTCACATCTCGGCAGCCTCGTCAGTCCCCTCCTGCTCCCTGGCTAAATGACGCACTGCGTGCTAATCGAACCATCCTTCGGGCAGCAGAGCGGAAACGGTGGAAATCCAAACATCATGACGACCTCCTAACCTATCAGGCTCTCCTCTTTCTCTGCTTCGATTTCTCAGGCAAAAAGCACTTTCTTTCAAGATAAGATCCAATCTTCCTATTCCAATCCCAAAAAACTATTTTCTATCTTGTTCACCCTCTTAGAACCCCCCCAAAGCCCCTTCCCCCTCCTCCCTTCTGTCAAGCGACTTTGTTAACTACTTTGAAAAAAAGGTTGATGATATTCGCTCTTCTTTTTCTGACTCACCTTTACTCACCGCTGGGTCACCAGACCCACCTTTACTCACCGCTGGGTCACCAGACCCACCTTTACTCACCGCTGGGTCACCAGACCCACCCTTCACCCACACACTAACCTCTTTTTCCCCTCTCTCTCCAAGTGAGGTTCTTACCCTCATTACCTCTGCCCGTCCTACCACCTGTGCTCTGGACCCTATCCCCTCAAACCTCCTTCAGACTATCGCTCCTGATATTCTACCGTTTCTCACCCATTTTATCAACACTTCTCTAACTTCTGGTCACTTTCCAAACACTCTCAAGGAGGCAAAAGTAAACCCTCTCCTAAAGAAACCCACTCTCAACCCGTCTGATGTTATAAACTACAGGCCTGTCTCTCTCCTCCCGTTCCTTTCTAAAACACTTGAACGCGCTGTCTTTAAACAACGCCCCTGTTATCTCCATCAGAACAACCTTCTGGATCCGCACCAGTCTGGTTTCAAGGCAGGTCTCTCAACAGAAACTGCTCTCCTTGCTGTCTCTGAGGAACTGCACACTGCTAAAGCAGCCTCCCTCTCCTCTGTCATCATCCTTTTGGACCTGTCTGCTGCATTCGTCACGGTGAACCATCAGATCCTCCTTCGCACTCTCCAAGAACTTGGAGTTTCAGGCTCTGCACTTTCCCTCCTCACCTCATAGACCGTACCTACAGGGTAACTTGGAGAGGGTCCGAGTCCGACCCTTGTCAATTAACTACAGGGGTCCCTCAGGGCTCTATTCTTGGTCCCCTCCTCTTCTCCCTGTACACAAACTCGCTCGGATCTGTCATTAGCCCGCATTGTTTTTCATACCACTGCTATGCTGACGACACCCAATTAATTCTGTCCTTTCCCCGCTCAGAAACCCAGGTCGTCGCACGCATCTCTGCTTGTCTAGCGGACATCTCTCAGTGGATGTCTGCTCACCACCTCAAGCTCAACCTTGACAAGACTGAACTGCTTTTCCTTCCGGGAAAAGATTGTCCCACTCTTGACCTAACAATCAACATCGGCACCTCTATTGTTTCCCCGACTCAGACTGCAAGGAATCTGGGTGTGACCCTAGATAACAAACTGTCCTTCACTGCAAACATCGCTGCTACAACCCGCTGCTGCAGATACACGCTATACAACATCAGGAGGATACGTCCCCACCTGACCCAGAAAGCGACGCAACTTCTGGCCCAGGCTCTCGTCATCTCACGCCTAGACTACTGCAACTCCCTCCTGGCTGGTCTACCTGCATGTGCCATACGACCTCTGCAGCTCATCCAGAATGCAGCGGCTCGTCTGGTCTTCAACCTTCCAACATTTTCCCACACCACGCCGCTCCTCCGCTCCCTTCACTGGCTTCTGGTAACTGCTAGAATCCACTTCAAGACAATGGTACTTGCGTACCATGCTGCAAATGGATCTGGCCCTTCCTACATCCAGGACATGGTTAAACTGTACACCCCAGCACGTGCACTCCGCTCTGCATCAGCCAAACGGCTCGCTGCACCAGCACTACGAGGGGGACCCAAGTTCCCATCAGCAAAAACACGTGGGTTTGCTATCCTGGCTCCGAAATGGTGGAACGAGCTCCCCATTGAAATCAGGACAGCAGATAGCTTGCACATCTTCCGGCGCAGACTGAAAACTCATCTCTTTCAACTCCACTTCGAGCGATAGAATTACTAACAAAGAATTGCTAACAAAGCACTTATATACTAATAAAGGACTGGCTTATCTAAAGCCAGTTGAGTAGCACTTGAAATGTTTTGGCTCTATGAAACCTGATGTACTTATATGATTCCGTTTTCTTCAAGTTTGTATCTTGTTGGTCGAATGCACTTATTGTAAGTCGCTTTGGATAAAAGCGTCAGCTAAATGCATTGTAATGTAATTTATTGAATACACTGGATAGCTGCTATAAAAAAACAAAAACGTGAAAACGTCTGACGCTCAGGGGTTTTTCTAGAAAAATATAGTATGAGGGCAATACTGTGGCGCTGATCTTGTATATAAGATATATTAATTCTGGCGAGAACATGACAAAGGTATACAAGATGGCGCCACGGACGTAAACAACAACGTGACGTCAGAGCTCCGTAAAATCAAAGCTGTCTCTGCCGTCTGACGATCTATTTGACACCATTTTCATATTTTTGGAGTAATTACAGTTTTTGAGGAACAGAAAAAAGTTTTCTGGCATCACTTTAACATTTCATGGGGAAAATCTGCATTTTGGTATGAGGGCGCACGCCGAGAGTAAGAGGGCGCAGCGCCCCTGTTACCTGGTTTAGACAAAACCCTGACTCTGACGCAGTGTGCTGCTCTTCAAAACGGTCAATAATAGCAAAATTAGGTAGAAAATAAACAGTATGCCTGGTTAGTCTGACTTTATATATGTGTGTTTTTGTGTGGTCGCAAATAGAGCTTGAGAAGAACATAGGCTATGTTGGCTTCCAGTACTGTCCACTCTAGTTTACAAAGAAGGATCTTAGAATGTCATTTCTTATATGCCATATTGAACCTTGATAACTGGTTTTAATTTCTCAATTTAATCCTGCAAACTGTGATGTCACCTGTAGGAAGAGAAGAGAAAGAAAGATAAACTTACCAAGGCAATCTGCTGTCTGACCCGCTCCCTGGCTGCCTTCTCCTCAGCCTTTTCCCTGTTCCTCTCCTTCAGGAGTCGCTTGGTCTTCTCCTCTTCCTGTTGCCTCTTTAAGTCCAGCACGTCTTTCCCCATCTTGCGCCGTTCCATTTCCTTCTTAATCTCATTCTGAATCCCAGGGAACACACAAGTAGGTTAGGGGCGTAGTCATAGCTATAATGATTATGTAGTCAAATCAACTTGTTATGTAGACACTCAGTCAGTAAGGCAATGATAATGAGCACTTTGCCATCTTCATGTTTGTATCCGGGTGTGCACAAACCTGAAGCAAAGTTATTTTTTAAAAAGTAGATTATTTGGGAAACATCTTGCTATGCACACAGTGCAAAGTTTGCTTAAGGAGTGTGTGTTTGAGCAAGAGGGAGAGCCATTGTGGATGGACTTGGAGTGATTGGAGCAGAGACGAAATTAGCAGTTCAGTTGTAACATAGACCAAGGTGAAAATGATCAGGGGTGTTTGTAGTTAAAAGAGAGTATCAGTGGAAAAACTGGTATTTTTTAAATGTAGGTACCGTTATTTTCTTTTCTTTTTTTATAGGTGCCTTTTGTTTTCAGTTTATGCTATACTTGTTCAATAAAAGAATGTGGGAAATACTTCACCCGTCATTTTTTTGCAAATAATTTCTTGCATGTGAGCAGTATAGTGAAAGCAGCAGAATTGGGGTTAGAGAAATATCTATTATTAATATTGTGATATTTTGTCATTACGGAATTTAACCTGTTAAGCCCTGAGCCTGTTTTTCAGGTCTCGGGCTCGAAAATGACATTCCCAGAACAAATGACCATATCTTCCCTTCTAAAAGGGGTAAATTAATAATATTTTTTCTCAAAGTAATGATAAACCTGTGAGTTGGATGTAGAAAAGTCAGAATCAATATAGATGTTTTTTATTTTAAAGAAAATTCAGATTTTACATAGTAAAAAAACTGTAAATTATAGTGTCCGTCCAAAAGTTCTTTTTTACTTATAGTGAAAACTACCCTTGGATGATGGTAAGGTAGACTAAAAGCTTTAGGAATCCAAAGTACAACATATAAGTACCCTGTATCAAGATTGATGCAAAACAAGTGACATTTGACCTTTTTAGAGAGATTTAGCAAAAAAGAAACCACTTCTGGGGTCATTTGGGTGGATTTTCCATATCTCTGGCCCCCCTTGCTCGATTTTGATGGTTGACACCTCTTTCTGACCGTTAGAGCCAATAGAATCGAAGGGGGAGTCCCCCACACACACTCATTGTGAGAAAAAAAAAAGGTGGGGGCTTCGCGCATGCAGTTTTGCATCAGAGCGAACCTATCTCTAGCTTTGACATCTGGAAACGGAAAAGCAGTTTTAATGCTTATGGATTATCAGAAATCATTTCAAAGGGACACAGACACATTGGATTAACCTATGGATTAACTTGAGCAGCGTTTTTATCGTTTTAATGCCATTGAAGACCACTTTGGAGAGACTACAGAGCCAAGGTAAAAATGTTAGCATTTATAGCTACCTAGCGTCACCTGTTTTGATGTCTGTTTTTGTTTATAACGTCGCAAATTCGTATAATTCAGTGATAATGAGGGTACCCATCGATTCTGTGTCACCTCACGATGTGAATTGGTCATGGATGTGGAGAAAAGATAAATAATAAGGTTTTGTGAGTGATTTTCGGTGCAGTAATCTGTTAGCATTTTTCGCTCGTTGCTAATTCAGAGGCTCAGTGTTAGCATTGTGGGTTTTCTTTTGAAAAATAAATAAAAATGATCAGTTAGATGAGTTTCTTCCCGTTACATGGATATAAAACATTCATAGTTTATTAAATGAACATGCCCTCAGACACTGTTTCCTGCAAGATGTCGCGGCAGTGCCCCGGTACCGGGGTCTCTCGGGCTTAACAGGTTAAATGATTCTAAAAAAGACAGTTGTTTTTTAAAAAGTAGTTTAGAGTACTGCTATGATGTCGGATGTTACATGGACCGTGATAAATGTAGCTGCATATCCCACTGGTCTGTTAACATAAAAAAGGAAAGTTTATTTTACTCAGACTAATGAATATAGTAGTGTGTTTTCTATACTATGACTGATTTTCTCAAATACAAAAAAAACGGTTGACACTATGATGAAGCACGAGAACTTTGGTGCTACATTTCCAGTGGGTTGTGGAGCCAGTCAGCTTAACTTGGAAAATTGAGGAAAACAAATGAGCACTCTTTCAGCTTTAAGACAAATCTAATGTGTGGCCAACTTCACATATTATTCATATTTCATTTATTAAGGGTACATGCCACATGAAAGAAATGCACTATATAGAGATCTTAACAGGCTATTCTCCTTACCTCTTCTTCTCCTCTCTTCGTGTTCTCTCGTCTCTCTTCCAGTTTCTTGGTTAACCTGACAGGACAATATAAAGTAAAATATGGCATTGAGTCCTTTCTATTAAAATTCATTAAGCAGTTAAAAGATTTTTGGCTTGTTGACGAGACTGATGGTTGGTTACATTTCAGGTTACATATATGAGGATGTAACTATTATGAGTTGAAAACAATTGGATTCGGACAATTCAATTTCGCTCGCTCTCTCTCTCTCTGTCTCGCTCGCTCACAGAGGCTGTATGCTCCTCTGTGTCGATGACGGCTTGCGTTAAAAAATAATAATAAACATATTTGTAAAGTGGGGGGACACAAACGGGATTTCGAAAAGAGCGGGGGACATTTCCCACCTGTCCCAGGTGGAAATTACGCCATGCGTGTGTGTGCGTCAAGTGCAATACATATATATGCAAGTTGCAACACACACAGAGTAAAACTCTGCCCCCCATGTGCTGTATAGGCTGGCATGAAAGGCTGTTCAATGGGGCTGATGTGTTGTGTAGATTCTGCCAGAAGGAAAATCAGCGGGGAGGTGCCACATTGCTTTTCTTCCAGACTGCAACGCTGGTCCCGCAAATCAAGCAAGAACGTGATTGGTCGATATTCATTGTGGGGTGAGGGGAGGAGGGGTGTTAGATAGATATAGACCTTTGTCCCATGCCCCAAATGGTCCTGGACTATAACACCCTAACTCACTTTTCTGCCCATCTCCGCTGCTACTGCACTTTTGAACACTTAAATTATATTATTAACATTTTAAACTGTATACCCCGGTTATCTAGGCCCTTTGTTTTGTTTAATGTATACCATGTTTATATAGGCCCTTTTTGTTTTTTGTTTGATGTATATATGTCACACTGTAGGACTGCTGGAAACGATATTTCGAGATTTCTGAAAGTACAACATGTAGAATTCTTGACAATAAAGCTGACTTTGACTTTGACTAGAGTTGTAGTAAGTAGATAGAGTTCGCTATGATTTAGGTTTCGTTTATGCATAGGGTAGATTATCTTAATTACATTTCCCTTTTTGTTTTGTGTATTTTATACATTTTGGATTTGCTTGGCGAGCTATTTTTAGAACATGCCCCGCGGGCGACTCACGTTGCCCCCGCGGGCGACTCACGTTGCCCCCGCGGGCGACTCACGTTGCCCCCGCGGGCGACTCACGTTGCCCCCGCGGGCGACTCACGTTGCCCCCGCGGGCGACTCACGTTGCCCCCGCGGGCGACTCACGTTGCCCCTGCGGGCGACCAAGTGCCCGCGGGCACCATGTTGGCTACCCCTGCAGTAATACATATACTTGTTTACAGCTACACTGTCCGGCAGTGGCTCAGTCCGTAGGGGCTTGGAATGTGAGCCGTAGGGTCGCTGGTTCAAGTGCCCGAACAGACCTAAATATGGAGTGTGGACTGGTACTTGGAGAGGTCCCAGTTCACCTCCTGGGCCATGCCGTGGTGCCCTTGAGCAAGGCACCGGACAACCCCCCACTCCCCATTGCTCACCGGGCGCTGTACAATAGCCCACTGCTCCTAGTACTAGGATGGGTTAAAAGCAAAGAACAAATGTCACTGTGTGAGTTATAGTAAATTCCAGCACTTCACAGCATGTTTAGAGCTATGGATGGGACGTGCGGGTGCGCATGCTATTTGTGTTGGAAAATCATTTTTTCAAGCAATAGACTGGAAAACACAAATCTCTGTTCATTAGTTCTGCCCAACTCAACCGGCATCTTTAACTGGCTCCTAGACTGGTCATATACTGTACATGTCTGCCTAGTGTCAAACAAGTCTGGACTCCAAAGAACAGAAGCGCTACCTAAAGTTTAAGTATAATTGTTTAATAAAATGTATGAATATATGATAATATGATGAGAGACTTGCTGACTTCTGTTCACTTCCCTGGGAGAAATGATCCCTGACTACAGAACAGATACAACTGGTACTTCTGGTCTGCAGTGTAGCAGCAGTGTGCTGCGGGTTCATCCCAGAGAACACAATTAAAGTAGCCACGTGAAATCATCTGTCAGAGGTGAACTCGCAAAAACTAATTTTGTTGAAATGTACTGCTCGTATTTGCCTATTTTTGGCAATGGCCTAAGTGTCATGGGATTTGACCAGGTCAATGTCTCTATCTTTACTCTGCATGCCCTTATAAATGCATGATCTGTAAACTTGTTTTGTATATTATTTATTAAGAAATTAAAATGATATGTTATTACATACATATTTGTGGAGTTACTAATGTTAAGGTGAATTAACTCTGGACATATAGTAGACTCCCTTCTAGTGAAAGGTTGCAGATATTTCTATAATGAAGATCTCTATTCTCCGTTTTCTGTCCATCAATTATGCCGCCAAGTAAAGGAACTCGGTTTTGCCTTGGCCTGTCATTTGACATACTTACCTTTCCACATTATCATCCAGGTGTTCTTCACTCTGCGTTGCATGGTCTGAAGGTGCATTCTCTGCAGTTACGGAGGCTAAAATGCTGCCATCCTCTTCTGTGCTTGAGAGGGATGCTTCATGGTACAAACAGAAAGCAGTAGGTTAACTCCCTTATTTGCAGCTTTATCCACATTACAAAATCGTTGGTGGCTGGACAGGACTTCAAACACAAAACCATGATTATTTTTAAGAGGGGGTTAAAACTATTCTTATGTTACACTGAACTAATTTCTCTTCCTCTACTTCTATTTGTATCATATTCATATTCCTGTCCCATGAACGCATGTTACCAACTTGGAATCCGTGGAGTTTTTGTTCCTTACCATGCAGGTTAACATGTTTATCGAACTGGGCTGCACCCATATGGGCCGGAGACATGCTCCCAAGCACCTTTTTTTCAGGGCGCCATCAGGTGCAACCAGGTCGCACCGATGGCGCCATAGCCACCATATGTAATGTGAGGAGAACCACTTATCACAGCCGAGAGATGTCTTGACTTCCATAAAGAAAAGTGTACGGCAGATATGGAGAAGTTAATGTCACATGACCATCAAAAGCCTCTGCTCTCACGTCTCAGGTGACAGACAGACACACGAGAAGAGAGCGCATGGCGTCGCACGGGGCCTCCTCAAGAAAGAGCACGGCACAGTAAAGCCACCCGATTACACACATCCTAGATCAGGGGTGTCTTTATGTGGCACGCAAGAGCGAGCAAAGAATATAATAAATGTATTATATGGTTACATGCCGCTTTACAGAAGCACGTTGCCCATAAACTACATGTCTCACAATGCATCTCGTTTTGTGACATGCGCACTGAGGCGACATATCAGCCGTTTATAGCATCAGCACTGAGTGAGACAGTCAGTGACAAAATGACCCGCTCTGTCCGGTGTTGCTACGGCTCATTCAGAGACACACATGGATTTGTGTTTTAAAAAAAACTTGCGTTATGGTTATTTCCGTATGAGGTCTTGGCTTGCTGAGTGTGAAATTGTTCTCTCTATATTCAGTCAATAAAAACTTTGAGATACGTGTTTAAAGTTTGTGAAGGCTGGAGGAACACTTCCGCGATCTCCGTCTCCTCTCTGTTCCTCCCCCCCACCCTATAATGTAGGCAATAATGTGATAACAAACATTTTTATGTATATTTATAGTCTTAAAGGTCCCATCGTATGCTTTTCCGGTTATTACCTGTCCCCTTGTGTGTTATGTAGCTTTTTCTGCATGTAAACGGTCTGCAAAGTCAGATGCACAGGCTGCAGTGGAGACGCTGCGCACAGCTGATCGACAGCTGACAAAAAGATCATTCAGATCCAGTCGTCATGATGACTCCACTCCGGAGGGATCTCCCGATCATTTCTTAGTTTCTCATCAAGGGGGTGTCTCCTGTCCCCGGTACAAACACACTGACACAAAGTCAGTGTGTTGAGGAAGGTTAGGCTATGTGTATTTTTTATTATTTATTTATTTTGGTGACGATCCGACCTCCATGCTGCTACTCTGGTTCAAACTGCATCCACCAAACAATATGATTTTCTTTGACTATTTATAGGCAAATATGGGTGTTACGTGAAACCCGCAAAAGCTGCGCCGCATTTCGAGTTGATTGTGATTTATAAAAAGGGAAACCGGCGTAGGACGTGCCGCACGCACATCCTACACCGGTAGGACTATATATCTAATATCTATTTTTCCAGATATAAATCGGAAAATATCTGTGCATATTTATTTGCTTTGTCCTACGTAAGCAACCTTCCCACGTGAATCCTACGCAAGGCTTTATAAATGAGGCCCCTGAGCTCCGTAATGTCCCGCTAACATGGCACTTACACTTTATGCAGCAACCAGGAAATGACACCAGTAAATCAACCTCACACTGTCCGCTCTTCATGCCTCACAGGGCGGACTCGTGAGCTCCGTAATGTCCCGCTAACATGGCACTTAGAATTTATGCAGCATTCTCATCTGTTTGTTATTACTGGTGTCATTTCCTGGTTGCTAACCGACGCCATTGTAAAACATTAAACTGATGTTCAGCTATAACTAGAAGGCTGGGAGAGCAATCTGTTAGACAGGGGCGGGGCCTTTCTGGTGATTGATTAATCAGAACAGAGTGGGCGAGCTGACCAGAGCACACTGGGCTCATAGGGAGGGGGGGCAGGAGCTCCAACAAAGCGTGTAGGACAGAGTGAATAGAGACACTATACAGAGATGCTGTATATGAAAACCAATGTGATTTTGGAACATTGAATTCACGCATATATATGCATATATATATATATATCTATGCATATATATATATATATATATATATATATATATATATATATATATATATATATATATATATATATCCAAAAGGATCCGGATTTGCCATCTCTATAAAGTATCTATCTATCTATCTGTCTATCCATCTCCTTACACAGAGGGGACACATATGTATGTATAAAAGACATAAAAAATTGCATTTTGCATAATAGGTGACCTTTAATGACTGTGCTATCCAGGCATACCCACCTTCTGCAGTCCCACGTGCTGCTGAAGGTTGTGAGGCTGCTCCCGTCCTAACCTGCGTTCCTAGAGCTGAAGCTGCGACAGGAGGCTTGCTATCGAACATGCTCGTCTCCACAGGACCACTGGCCTCTGGGAGTTCTGTTCCACCTGCCATCTGCTGGGCATGCATCTTTGACAAAATGGAAAAAGATCATCGTCAGAAAATAATTTAGTAGCTTCAGCGGCAGTTCATAAGCAGTATTGGCAGGTAGTATTCATATCTAGGGGTTGTAAAATACTTGCTTTCAACGATTACAAAGTCGTTATGATTCAAGAAGTGGTACACAACATTGCCCACCCCGGAGCCGCTAAAATGTCTAAAGGCATGCATGTGATTCTTCATCGTGTTTTGTTTTTTTAAACTAGAGAAAACATAAACAAAGGATTGAAAAACCAGTAGTGAGCTCCCTGCACCACTGTTTACACCCCCTCCCTGCGGCCTTACCTGCTTTACTCTGTTGATTCTTATCATCAGTTCTTCAGCGGACACACTTCCAGCGATCACCTCCAAAGGGATCCCATTCTCCCCAATAAAGAAGCTTGAGGGTATGCACACCACTGGATCTTCAAACGGGGGGGGTTAAGGAAGAAGCTCCCAGCAAATGTGTTTATATAATAATTATAAATATCATTCTTCACTGATCACAGACATATGATAGAACAAATCGTTAAAAAAAACGATGAAAGTGGTGGTCAAGACAAATCTTAGATGCCCTGTGAAAAGAACTCAACTTTATAACCAAACCACAGTAAATTAATCAACGTAATGTGGGCTTAAATGAACAGTGCCTATTTGTTTGAAAATAGCAATGAAATGGGTAGTGCTACTATGAGCTTGCCTCAGAGATTAGTGAGTATAAAAAATGGCCTTCTGTAGTAACTCCACCAATATTTAGGGGCACAAAAGATACAGATCTGAGAGAACTGCACACATGGCTCACTGTGGAAGAAATGTTGCAGATATGCATATGTTTAATATGCACACAAAAAATACATGTTATTATTCAGTTATGTACAATGAATACTCTTAAAGTCCATGTCCACAAAACTATTAAGACACAACAGTTTGTCCAGGACATTGGGAAGTTGAGATGCTAAGCACTTAAAGTAATGGGTCATCATATTTTACTAATGGTTGACAAGAATGCTAAGCATTCACTTATGGACATGTCTTGCTAACAGTTACTTCTCTTGCAACAGAATGAAATGTATTGCATTTAAGTGAACACAATAGTAGTACCTTTTGTCATTGACTTTGATAGCCACACAACAGTTGTGTGCTGCCTCTGAGACTCTGTCATCCTCCCAGCTGGACATCAGCTGTGCGGACTGCTCATCTCCCCCTGAGGACACATGTCATTCAGTACAACAACGATCCTGTCAAAACACCGCCACTGCTAGCTAATGCTAGCTCCCGGATGCAATATCATAGAGCCCACATAAAACGACACCATAAAATCGCACGGTGCAATGTATCTGTGTTCTTATACTAGTCTACTGTACGGAGAATGGTAGACGCACATTAATCAAATCCGCTGGCGCATCATAAACACGTTTGATAATGTCAGTGTCAAAGCACTGCAGTGGTCATTTCCCAAGTCCTAATGAATCCTCTTTCCTTAACCCCATGACGTCCATGATGTTAAGGAATAGTTGGGTTAAGCTTTTAAGGACTATATGTATATATGGCACATCTCGTGTCATCTCGTCTATCTTCTTGGCCTATATTCTTCCAACATGCGTAAATACACTACTCTACTATTGTGTGACATGGGTTTAAGAAGCAGCTTAGCACTATCAGCTACCACTGCTAGCTGGCTAGCGCTTCTAGATGACTATTTACCAATGCAGCTAGTAATAGCTATCTGGTTAATGGACAAACACACACATACCTGTAATGACAACGACAAAGACGGAACTCCGCAGTTTAGCCAAGTTAATAGCATCAGGAATGGAGCCATCAAACCAAAACATTTTAATGATCTGTTTCTGTCACTGGTTCGTGACGCTGTTAACCAGATAAACTCGGATAAACTACGGAGTCATCTTCTTCTTCTTCTCTCGGTTTTTGGCGGATTGCAAACAACTTTAAGGTGCATACCGCCACCTACTGTACAAGAGTGTGTATCACCATATCATCCTATCACCACTTGTGGAATTATACCACTGTGTTTACGTTGTTTTTAAATTCTTCCAATCAATCCTGTTTCACTCAAATACTTAAAAATGGCCTTCCTGGTATCTCTTACCCCCTCACCTTCTGTTCCCAGTATCCCCATCAGGCTCCACTCCCTTCCTGCCTCTCTGACCCTGTCTCTTAATTTTTCCCTCTCTGTTTTAACTGTTGTACATGTTGCAGTGTAATATGATGTGTTCCACATTTTCTTTCACTCCACACCCCCTGCATTTTTCAACTTCGCTTTTTACCATTATACACATTGTGCCGTTTAATCCTGTAGGCCTATGATCCAGTCTGAGTCTAGTGATGGTGATCTCCTCCCGTCTGTTCCTTTCTGTATAGATCTTTGTTATGACTGATTTCGGTAAGTTGTGCTATCTCCTCCCTTTCTGATCTTCCTCCCACCTTTTCTGCCATATTTCCATACCCTTCTTCTTAATTATTGCTTTTCCTTGTCCTTTCCCAAGTGAAACTGGAATTGCTATTGTAACACATCTTTTGCTAACTTATCAGCATGTTCATTCCCTTGAACCCCCTCATGTGCAGGCACCCAGCATAACTGCACATCTATTCCCCTCCTCTGAAGTCTCAATAAGCAGTGGTTAAGTTCAATGATTAGATCTTCTCTAACAGTTATTGTCTGTATACTTTGCAAAGCAGATAGTGAGTCTGTGCATATCACCACCCTATCAGGACTGACCTCTTCGACCCATTGTAGCCCAATAACTGCTAATAACAGCACCTGGTGTTGGCCAGATAAGCCAACATCCCCCACTTTCATCACTTACAGTGCCCATCGTACAGGGCAAATGAAAAGTGTAACCAGGGTGAAAAGGGTGTTACATTTACTTAATTATGAATGTTGTTACATCAAGGCCGAAAATTAGGATGAGCACCAACGGTCAAAAATGTTTTTCCCCCTCTCAGAGCTGCCAGCGCAGCGCCCCCCCTGATCTGGCGCCCTAGGCGAACATCTATAACGCCAATGCTAAGGACTTGCCCTGCATGAAAGGGAGCAAGGTCATTGGACAGACAAATTTAGGTTGCTTGGTTACTTTGAAGACTGCGTGAACCGGTCAATACCATTGGTGCCCCAAAAAAATATTATTATTATTTTCGATCAGTGAGAGGAGAGGAGGAAAATGCAACAAAAATTGTCAAAATCCGTTAAGATATGGATGAGTGGGGGGGGGGCTGGACACAGCCGTTCCCCCCCAAAGTGCATGGTGAGCGGACTCATCACCTCCGTGATGAGTCTCCATTGTGATTTGAAACTTCCATCAGACGAGTCCTTCGGGGGGCGGGGAAAAAAACGTGTTCGTCAGAATCGTCACTTCCTGTACTGAGAGTGGAGGTGTCCTGACAGACATGTCAGACATGTCGAATCGGTAGGTTTTCGGCCAAAAAGGTGGCGGCACGGCCGAAAAGACACGACGGTGCGGGACACACCATTCTGAGTAGGGCGACAGGACGCTCATCGTCGGCCTGATATCCATCGACGGCCAAAATCGGCTTGGTGTGTCCGGGGCTTAAGAGCTATTGGTCTGTAGTTAGCAGTGAGCCATCTCATCTGAGTTTACACTGGCATGACGATGAAAAGATAATGAATGAATCTTAAATATTGGGTGACCTATGCCTTTAACATATTCTGCTTAAATGTATTTGGAAAGTTTTTGGCCTGGGCTTTAATTCTCCAACCAAGCTAACTAATTTGAAATTATTAAGCTTTAATGCATCAAAGCAAGACTGACATGCTCGTACAATGAGCTTTCATCTCAGCAGCTTTCAGAAGGAATTCATGTTTATTAATCGTGAACGGTTGGCTTTTTTAACTAAAACTGTTTTGTGTTACTGTTTACATTTAGAGCAAAAGTCTGATCATTGAGAAAGAAGAAACAAGAACTGCAAACAAAAACCTATGTTAAAACAAAGAAAAAATACTTATAGTTTACATGATTACACAAATGATTTGTTTGCAACTTATAGTTTTATTTTTGAAATGTATTTTATTTTACTTGACTTCTTCTTTTAAACTCATAGTTTTGCTTTATTCTGAGAAAGTGTTGCTTTATCTTTATGATACAAAACTAATCCCATATAAACGAGAGTAGAGACGTCCCAAAATATGATCAAGCAGTAGTGGTAGTCCTGTGAGAGGAAAATTAGAAGGAAGGAAATCAGCTGCATTAGTGAACAAAATAGAAAATGTAAAAGCTTAATTTTGCCAAGATTTTAAATGCAGTTTCAGGGCTCTATATTCTTCTTTTCATGCCAATTTCTACATCGCCTCCACTACAATATCTTGAATATAGTCGTTTTTACATCACTAAATGTATCTGACAGCTTTAACATTGTAAAGGTGTCACTTTGGACTCTGGGTAATTATGACAGCATTTCCTACTATTTTGAGAGTTGTAACTAACCAGACCTTCATCTATTATTGGAGAAAATAATCAGGACATTAAACCATTATGAAAGTTATCATTAGTTAGGTCATTGTTCAAAATGAGCTCCAACTACAACAGTTAAAGGTCCCATGTCATGGCCATTTCTACTGATCATAATTCCATTGAGGTATACTAAAATAGATTTATATTGTGCCATTTTCCAAAATCGCATTGGTTTCTCATACAGCATCTCTGTATAGTATGTGTATTCACTCTGTCCTAAACGGCTTGTTGGAGCTCCTGCCCCCCCCCTCCCTATGAGCCCAGTGGCCGTCTGCGAGACAGCGAGACACAGCGAAACCCAGCCCGAACACACACACACACGCAGCCTGGCTGGGAGTTTGTGTGTGTGCTCACACACCGACTCACAGCCTCTCCGCGTCCCGCCGTCTCAGGGAGGAGACATCGGCGGAGCTGCAGCTGAGAAAAGATTGAGTGTGTGTGTGTGAGGAAGTAACGTAACGGCTCCGCGGACTCCACGGATTGGTCCATTTGGACCAATGGGTCCATTTGGGTATGGGCACGTCACTGTACCCAGGAAGAAAAAGAGAAATCTCTAACATAAGGGGATCACGTAAGGTTATAAATCATAACACACAAGGGGACGGGTAATAACCGGAAAAGCATGACATGGGACCTTTAAGTCAACCCTTTTACATTAATGCATGGTAATAATAATAATAATAAAAAACAAATTATATCATATAATAGTATATCTTTCTTCTACTAGAAATACTTTAACATTTTCCGGATTATTCTTCCATTCTAGTAATTTTCTGAAAACTTCATTCACCACGATTACTTCTAACAATTTATGGATGTTCTTACACCCCCTTTAACTAGTCAATTTGACTTATCTAACCGAAGTCAGACGTGATGTATGTAACGTTACTTTGAAAACCATCAGGCGGGATCATTCACCCCCCCACACACACACAAACACACACACACGAGGACACGGTAACGTCGTTCTTCACTTTAATGATAACTACGGAGCAGACAGACAGAAAGGCACAAGGCTGCATCACTCATTTAGCTAGCACACACACACACACGCAGCCTGGCTGCTGTCGAGCCCTCACTGCTTGTAAAATAAACAGCACAAACTGACTACTACGAGCCCCGCTGTTCTCCGTCATCTTTCTCCTGGGTTGTTGTGATCACATGACTGACAAAGCCGTGCTCTGATAGGCCAGAAGTCGGTTCGATTGCATTCAGGTTCGATTGCTTATCCTGTCTGGGTAGCCCGGATGATGTTCCATCGAAATTTTAGACGTCGAATTTTAAACACCGAAATTGTCCATTCAAATTGTTTTTACTTGAATTGTTACATTTTTATTTCACATAAGTAAATTCGGAGCAATTTCTCTCATTTTTCCTCTCCTCATTCTCCTAATGTTCCTGGGTTGGATACAGGTTGGATACAGCCCCCCCCCCCCCCCCCCCCCCCCCCCCAACACTACAGCCATTGACAGTGCGCTGCGTCAACTTCACTCCGGTTAACTTTCACTTTCCGTTCTGGTCTCTCTGTCTCTTTGTCCCACACGCAGAACAGATTTAACCTCTCTCATTTGTCGTGTCGTGTGTCATTTGTTAACACACTTTCGTTGTCAGGTCATGGCTGATATCCCGATAAATAAGGTAAGGATTTCTGAAGAATATGAAGGCTGTGCTCGTTAGACTGTCGGACTAATGTATTGTTGTTTATTGTCAGATGGTGAGTGCCCTAGAAGAAGAAGACGGAGAATTGGAGGAGGCTAAGAAAGAGCTGGAGACCTGGAAGGTAAGAGGCACAATACAGCGGCCCACAGCATTCAACCCTACAGTCCCGTGATCAGGGGCCTTACGGGAGGCCCCTTGATGAGAAACTGTAAGAAATGATCGGGGAATCCCTCCGGAGTGGAGTCATGACGACTGGATCTGAATTATTTTGTTGTATTTGGTGGTTTGTGTTCCAGCTGTCGATCAGCAACTATATATCCATAATCCACCAGTTAAAGGAAATACAACTAATGTGTTGTGTTATATTAGCTGTACAATTGACCACATATGGTGTTCTTAGTTTCCATACCTCCTGTGTTTTACGAGCGACTTATCAAGTCTTGGCAAACGGCATAAAACTCGATTAAACGTGATAGTATATAAAACCATGCTCGTATCTACAACTTATAGAAATGCAAAACGGCGTTAGTTTAGACGTCATTCTGTCCTCCTGCTTACCGCATCATTTATGAGAAAACATTTCATAACATTAACACAACATATTCGAGGTGGTTTTAAATAACATATCCGTATTTATTTATTTCTCCAAGTTATGTTTTTGTGTGCACTGAGGAGTCTCAAACAGGCGTTTGTTTAATCATTTTAAGATTGGCTTTAATCAATGTTTGAAAATGAATTCTTCATATTTGATAAATGAGAGGTAACATTTTATTTATGGTATTATTTCCACATATTTCTCTCCATTCTTCCTTCTGCCAACGGTGTCGCAGTTTCTCGTCTCCCGTTTGTGTTCTTAGTGCGTACGCATGGGTTAGAGTTTGCGTGGAGGACCGCACATTTTCCCGTCAAGTTAGTATTTTATAAATCGCAAACATTGCGTAGAAACTGGCGTACGCCATTTTTTTTAGCGTATATCCCTTTATAAATGAGGCCCCAGAGCCTTAAATTCCGGGGGCCCACGAAGGCACCATTTGAACCGACGTGTTTTCGCGTACAGGCTGAACAGACATGCCTGGATATTAGAGTCAATCTCATGGAATGAGAGTGGCAGGGTGTTGAAACCCTGAGAGAGGCCTCCTGTAACCGCGGTCAGGGTGTTCTCAGCATGTTGCTGCTTCAAATAACTTCGGTGAGCAAAAATAGTTTAGGCCTACAAAACCAGTTACTTTCACTTTCACCTAGACGTTTTTATTGTGACTGTAGGCCTGTACCAATGGGCTGATATAAGGCGCTTTCACACCGCAGCAGTGGCGGTTCTAGACAAATTTGTCTGAGGGGGCCAGGCTGGGGCCAGTTATTTTCTGAGGGGGGCACAATAAATGCAGGACGAAAAAGACAAAGACAGTATGAAGTAATTGCGCATAAGAAAACAATGCAATACAGTTATTGGTATTTGTTTCAGTACACATATTTATTTCAGATACTTATAGTTACAGTTTTTACGCTCTAATGCAGGGGTCTCCAACCTTTTTTAGGATGAGAGCTACTTTTACTCCTCTTTTTTTTGTTTTTTGCAGTGTATGTTTTGGGGCGGCAGTGGCTTAGTCTGTAGGGACTTGGTCTTGGAACCGAAGGGTCGCTGGTTCACGTCCCGATCAGACCAAAAAAAGATGGAGTGAGCTGGTAGCTGGAGAGGTGCCAGTTCACCTCCAAGGCCACTGCCGAGGTGCCCTTGAGCAAGGCACCTAACCTCGAAACTGCTCCCTTGGCGCCGGGTACCTGGCAGCCTCTGCTCTGCCACCTCTCCTATCTGCATGTGGTTGTGTGTTTGCATGTATATCCTCTGCGTTTGTGCATGTATATCTTCCCCTGTGTGTGTAATGTGTGTTAACACAACAGAGTGGGGAAAGAAATGTCCCTGTAAGGGATTCATAAAGTGTATCTTCTTCTTCTATATATTTAGCACATTTTAATATTATTATATGTTGACCTTTAACCTTTGTGTGCTGTTTGGGTCTGTGGGACCCGTTTTCAGTGTTTACTAAAAGAAAATGTATGCAATTTAATTATTTTGACCTGCTTTATTTGGTGGACCAGGGGCGGATCTAGAAAGATATTCATGGGGTGGCAAGAGGGTGGCAGGAGATTTTGAGCTGTGGCATCCCCTGGCAGAAGTATATGCTGATTTAATCACACAGTCAATGTTAACTTGGAAAGCCACAATATTAATATTTTAACTCAATAACATAGGTGACATTATTGTGGCACATCAGTAAAGCCTTACATATAAATATATAAGGTGGCAGACATAATTTAATGAATTTTAACTGAACAATAACTGAATCAGTTTGTTTCACTCTTAGACCAGCAGGGGTACCACATCTATCCAGACTGCTGCAATAAGTACATTAATTAACTGTCTCATCGATGTTTGTCTGAATGAATATGATACTATTAACAATCATATTATTCCTATCAGCTGTCAATTACTGTTATGATTCACATATTCATTTAATATTGAATAAACTATATTTTTTGGAGGAGTTAATGATGAATGTTCCTCAAGATGCTTGCTCACCCTCCTTCAAATTATATCATGTATCAAAATTCAAAAGATTCAAAGGAACAGTTCAGCGCCCCACGACTTTATTGCAAACAGTTACAACCTTGACTTTACATCAGAAAGATCAAACATTAAAGAAGTGACTAACTGCATCAGTTAGGGTTAAAAAACGTGTATTCAGCTAAAACATATACATCGCTGCAGTTATTATCCAGTGGAAAGCCCTTACCTACTGGCCTAGTTAAATCAAAGTGGTTACTTTGTTACTGGGCAGTGTAGCTTTACACACCGTCTTATTTGACTTTCTCAGGACTTAAAACTGTTTTTTGGGGGCAGACCCCCACAAAAATAAAAAATATACACACATACAAGGTCATCATCTTAAAGGTCCCATGTCATGCTTTTCCTGTTATTACCCATCCCCTTGTGTGTTATGAAGGTTGTTATGCATGTAAACGGTCTGCAGAGTCAAAACCCCTCAAAGTACACCCTGTAGCGAGTAAAACTCTAACACAGTCTATGCTGCCCCAAAACGCCTCGTTGGAGATTTCTCATTTTCCATTGTTTACTTCCTGGGTACTCTGACGTGGGGATACCCAGAGGCCACACCCTCTGCCAGCCTTTCACGAAACAAAGCTTCCCAAACCTTTCAGCGATTCATGCTGGATATGTACAGCGTAGGGCACTGAAGAACGATGCTGTTCCTACTTTGTTTGGACCAGCGGGAGATTCGGGTACACAACCTGTAAGTATCCATTGTTGTTTGTGTATTTATGATGTTTAAAACAAACAAGGTATCCACCACGACTGTTTAAATGGGTAAACGTTTTTCGGGCTACTACGTTGGGATCGCGGAGAAATGCTCTCCGCAGACCCATGCTCACAGCGTTATAAACCTTTTTCTTACTCAATATCAAGCCACACTTATAGTTTTTACTTCGGCTGTGAGTGTTTGTGTGTGCTCAGGATGAGTTTCGCTTGTTCTCGCTGTATCGCCGACACGGAAGCCTGTCTCATTTCATTTCATTTCAAACCTTTATTTATTCAGGTTGTATCCCATTGAGATCATTGACCTCTTTTTCAAGGGAGACCTGCTCCTCGCAGCAGCTGCGAGCAGCAACGAGCCTCTCAACGTCCCGACCAATCAGAGCACACTGGGCTCACAGGGAGGCGGGGGGCAGGAGCTCCAACAAGCCGTTTAGGACAGAGAGTGAATACACATACTTTACAGAGATGCTGTATGAGAAACCAATGTGAGTTTGGAAAATTGCACAATATAAATCTATTTTAGTATACCTCAACAATGGAATTATGATCAGTAGAAATGGCCATGACATGGGACCTTTAACCTGTTAAGCACCAAGCCTGTTTTTCATGTTTCAGGCTCGAAAATGACATGCCCAAAACAAATGACTACAACTTAACTTCTAAAAGGGTTATATGAATAATTTCTTTTATCAAAGCAAGGTTACATCTGTGAGTTGGATGTAGAAGTGTCAGAATCAATATAAATGTTTTTTATTTTAAAGAAAATTCAAACTCTCGCTCTGACATTTGGAAAAGAAAAAGCAGTTTTATTGCTTATGGATTATCAGAAATCATTTCAAAGAGGACACAGACACATTGGATTAACCTATGGATTAACTGCAGCATAGTTTTTCTATCGTTTTAATGCCATTGAAGACCAGTTTTGACCAAGGTAAGCCATGTTAGCGTTTCTAGCTACCTAGCTCCACATGTTATGATGTACGCTTTCGTTTATAGCGTCGCAAATGTTTATCACTGAGTGTTGAGGTGGGCACCCCCAGATTCTGTGTCTCCAGGAGATGCAAAACGAGGGGTTGGCTGTGCATCTAAGATAAGTAATAAGGGAGTTATGAGTGAGTTTAGGTGCAGTTTTAGGTTACATTTTTTCGCTCGTGGATAATTCAGAGGCTGAGTGTTAGCATTGTGGGTTTTTTTTTGGAAAAAAAAAATTAAAAAGATCAGTTAGCTGAGTTTCTTCCCGTTACATGGATATAAAACATTCATAGTTTATTAAATATTAAGATTCCTTAGACATTGTTTCCTGCAAATGACGCGTTTATCCGCCCGGTACCGGGGGGGGCGGTGCGTAACAGGTTAAACAGTCGTGGTAGATACCTTGTTTGTTTTAAACATCATAAATACACAAACAACAATGAATACTTACAGGTTGTGTACCCGAACTCCCGCTGGTCCAAACAAAGTAGGAACAGCATCGTTCTTCAGTGCCCTACGCTGTACATATCCGGCATGAATCCTGAAAGGTTTTGGGAAGCTTTGTTACGTGAAAGGCTGGCAGAGGGTGTGGCCATAGCTCTGGACGTGGCTACTGACCGTCCCTACGTCACGATACCCAGGAAGTAAACAATGGGCAGTGACGTATCTCCAACGAGGCGTTTTGGGGAGGTATTTTCTGTGTTAAGAGTTTTACTCGCTACAGGGTGTACTTTGAGGGTTTTGACTCTGCACACCGTTTACATGCATAAAAACCTTCATAACACACAAGGGGACGGGTAATAATCGGAAAAGCATGA